CATTTGTGGACATTGTTTGACCCCCAAACAATTCCATAATACCACAGACTGTCTTAAGGTAGATGGAATTCTATTTGTTCTATGGAGGGGGACTGAGAATCAGGAGTTTTAGTGTTAGGGCAAAGAGCTCATCAATATGTTGGGGCCAGAATTTGACCTCTGCTTCTTCGAAGGGTAGAGCCCAGACTGTGTGCTCTACAGTAGTACTTGGCTGCTTCTTGGCAGATGAACCTGAGTGACTACAGATATTTGAAAAGGAGTCATGTAAGCCCCAGTCAAGAAGGACCTTGCCTTTTCTGCTGGTTTTGGAAATGTGAGTGCAAAGGGTAAGGCCAAAGAAGCAGAAGCATCTTAGAAGGGATCCATGGCCACCATGTCATGCCTCATTTCCCTTCGTGAGTTGCAATGCCCAGAAATGGCCAGAAGCAGGCACATCTCCTGTAGGTATTGTAGGTGAGTGACACTGGGGAGAGCACCAGGTGCACTCAATGGCTCCTCACTGGGAGCTCACCATGATGTGTTGCAGGGTCTCTAGTATCATTATCTTACTGTTTGGGTAGAAGATAGACAATACATTTGGCAAGTAAGGGAAATGAAAATTCTGATTGCTTCATAACACATAAAATAGGGTGATGGGATGGAGAATAATTGAGGGACAACTTGGATGGGTGGTCAGGAAGGCTCCTCTGAGGTGTCCTGTCATTATGATCTGAAAGATGAGAAGGCAGTAGCTATGGAAAAATCCAGGGAAAAGTGCTGGGGGCAAGGGCACAGTGTGTATAGGAGGTCTGTGTCCAGCTGTTTAGTATGGTTGAGAAATGGAAATTGACCCCTGGGATCAGGGCAGAGAGAAGCTGATTTGAAGATGGGTGAACAGGTGCTCACTTTATCTAGGACTTAGGAGCATGACAGTATGTTTGGATTTTGTTCTAAGTGGGATGGGACCTTCCTGGGAGATTCAGAGCAGGGAATTCCTGTAATCTGATTTACATGTCAAAAGGCTCACTCTGCCTGTTGGGTGAGTTTGAAGGGAAGGCAATTGGGAGCTATGGCCACATCAAAGTGGTTTGCAGTTTACAGATGTCAGTCCAGGTAGAGAGGAGCAGATGGGTTCAGGAGGTAAATACTACAACCAAGGGAGGAATTAATTAGCGAACATGATGGATGGTGATGGTAGTGGGGGACTTTTGGAGGAGAAAGTTGTTTGACGTTGGAGTTAGGTTAGGTTAGGGTTAGGATTTGGATTACGATTAGGGAACTATGGTTTTAGTTATGAATAGGGTTTAGAGTTAGGTTTGGGGTTATGTTTTAGGGTTAAGATTAGAAGTTGGGGCTAAGGAGTTACAGTTAGGTGTGAGGGCTTAGGGTTAGGGAGGCAGGAAGCAATGAAAAGTACTGGGGACTCCAGATGGAATAGAAGACTAGAGTTAGAAGTCAAGACAAAGGCAGAGGAAGTGGAGAAGATGAGCATGGTAAGAATAGGTTGGAGAGATCCATGTAGCCATCATCTGGATCAAGAAATAGGACACTTTTGTGCCAACACATTTTTAAATTTCAAAGCCAGCTACTAGGGTTATTTTGTGATCTCTTATATCAGCACCTGAAATCAGGCACCAAATCCCACTTCATTCATCCACCCCACAATTGATGATGTAGAAAGCTGTGGTTTGTTTTTTGGACAGGCAGAGTGGACAGTGAGAGAGAGAGACAGAGAGAAAGGTCTTCCTTTGCTGTTGGTTCACCATCCAATGGCCGCTGTGGCCGGCACGCTGCGGCTGGCGCACCGCGCTGATCCGAAGCCAGGAGCCAAGAGCCAGGTGCTTCTCCTGGTCTCCCATGGGGTGCAGGGCCCAAGCACTTGGGCCATCCTCCATTGCACTCCCTGGCCACAGCAGAGGGCTGGCCTGGAAGAGGGGCAACCGGGACAGAATCCGGTGCCCCAACCGGGACTAGAACCCGGTGTGCCGGCGCTGCAGGCGGAGAATTAGCCTAGTGAGCTGCCCTTAGAAAACTGTTTTTTAAGCACTGGAGTTCAGCCCCACGCATCTCCTGTAACCCTACATCTATTATCTACATTCTGGCCACCTGCAGCTCACAAGGTGTGTCCAGTGGTCCCAAATGAAATGCTCCCACATGTGTTCCTTCAGTTCTTAAATTGGCCAAAGATATAATCCCTTCTCAAAGTCTCTTCTTTAATCAACTTTATCGAAAACGGGTAAATATGCATTACCCTTCCTTTATTCAGGATAGCCAGAAGCATTGTAAAGAACATGGAGTTTCTAGTACAAGCCGTGGTTTTTTTGGTCTCAGATGATAGTGTGGGTAACACATAGATTGAATGAAGAATGAGGTCTTTATAAATGTTTGTTTTGGAGAGGAAGTTAAAAATCCCGTGGTGTGTCCACAGTTAGGCCTGTTCTCTGGCTGTTATCTTCAAGAATGCTGCAGTCCACTCTCAAACACATCCCATTCAGACAGTCAGTGGCCTTATTTATAAGAGTGTGTAAGGCGTTCTACATTTAGGGTAAAACTAAGTGCAGGCAAAACAAGGAGCTGCGTGAGTATAATAAATGCTGAGCTTGCTCCAGCCCCTGGAAATAAGCCACAGCTGTGGACTTGGCCTCTGAAAGCCTGGCCAGGTCCTGCCTAGTGATCCAGCCCCAGTCTGACCCTTTGACCTTCTCCCTACCAATCTCCCCCCCACTGGATGCTGCTCAGTCCCTGTGGCTTCGGATGCCCTCTTGAGAGCCAGATGCAGAATTTTCATCTGTGGTTTTCTCTGAACCTTTATTGAACTGAGCTTTGATCTGTGCTACCTTGACTTCCAAACCCCAGCCCTGCCACTGGCCCGCTGTGAACTCTAGCACTAGTAATTTGCCTTTCCTTGCCTCGGTTTCCCCATGTGAAGAAAGACACTGCGATCCCCATTACGCAGGTGCTTCTGTAGTGCCGCCTTTGAGATCTGAACACCTCTGGAAGGTAGGTGGGGTGGGACAGCATGGTGTGGCAGTTGCCATCATCTGAATGTCATGTGCCCCCTTTCCCCGCCCCCTTCATGTGTTGGAACCTGATCCTCAGGGCAACAGTACGCACAGGTGTGGCCTTGCGTGGTGGTTAATCACGAGGGTGGAGTCCTCATGAGAGGGATTGTGCCGTTATAAAAGAGGGCCCAGAAAGTTCCTCTGCCTATGTTACCCCATGAGGACGCAGCAAGAAGGTGCTGTCCGAGAGGAGGTGGGTGGGGCACTCACCTGGCACCTAATCTGTTCGCATCTTGATATTGAGCTTCTCAGCCTCCCAAACTGCAAGACATTCCTTCCTGAGGCTTATAAACTACCAGCAGACAGCATTTTTGTTGTAGCAGATCACACAGACTACGAGGTAGAGTAGCCAAGGCCTTGAGGTCTGTGAGACCCGGGCTTCAATCCTGTCTCTGCTCCTCTTGCCAGCCAGGTATGTGAACTTGGAAAGCTGCTTAGCATCTATGAGCCTTTATTTTTCTCGTATGTAAAAGAGAGACCATATGAGGAATCAGTTTCAAAGGGTGGCTGTGAAGATTAAGTGTTACACGTGAGGCGTTTGGCACCGTGTCGCTACTGCCACTAGAATAACTATTAAAGGAGTAATAATTGCCAGTAGGACGATATTAGAATTGTTATTTTAGCCTTTTGGCAAGTGATGGAACCGAGCCCCAGAGGAAGTGCCTCTTCAAAGCCACTGGGCATCTCCTCCTTGTCTTTTCAGGCCCCTGAGCGCTTGCACCAGTCTGACTCCCTCAAGGCACCTCTGATGAAGCCACAGGGCGGCTGTGAGCTGGTGCTGGGCGTCATTTAACCAGATGACCTCCAAAGCTGGCTTTCCCAACCAACTGCCCTGTCTCCAGAAGAGCAGCATCAAGGAGTTAATGAGGCTTGGCAGCGGCAATGGGCCATCTGTTCTTAATTACCCAAAGTGCACGAGGCCGAGGGCAGGTTGCCGTGGGGGTGGCTGGGCACCGCCCGCGTGCTCCGGTAGGCTGCCCCCTCTCAGCTGCCTGCGTACTGGAGTCCCTCCCTTTACCCTTTCCTCTGTGTCTTCCCTTCCAAGGATGACAACTGGGGTTCAGAAGCTCATGTCCAGGAACCCTAAGTGGGCAGAGGCAAAGTTGGGGAGCAGGGGAAGTGGTGTTTCAGGTCCGGTTCTGTAGAAGCATGGGCCAGCATGACTGAGGGGAGGATTGTAGGGAAGCAGGGTGGGGAACGCCTCATCCGAATGCCAGGAGGCGCTCTGGGGCCCAACTTGAAGCAGAGTGCCCCCACCTTGATGCTAGGGAGTAAAGCAATTGTTAGGAGGGATGCAGGTGTGCAGCTGGGAGTCAGTTCAGCCCTGGGAGCAGCTGGGGAGGAAAGAAGTCTGGGAGGGAGGTGGCCAGAGTTAGCATTGACCAGGAATCTCCTTGAAAAGCAGTCAAGACTGTCCCTGACTTACTTTCTGGTAGGCAGTTGGGTTAAGTCTCTTAAAGCCCTGGTGTGCCTGAATCCTGTACTACTTTTTGCAGAGGTGGTTGTGGTTGTTGGATGGGACAGTAGACTTTGCATTCACATATGAGTTTTAATCTTAGCTGTATCACCTACTAACTGACTAACCTTGGGATGGCTTCCTGGATCTTCTGAGCCTTAGTCTGCTCGTCTGTAAAATGGGAGTAATAGTAAGCCGTTTTAGAAGGTTTCCTGAAATGGTGTGTACAAAGCACTCAGAACTCTGCCTGGTACTAGTAGCCACATTAACAGTGATGGGTTGGGAGCAATGATAGTCCTCTTTCCTCCTCCTTTCTCTGCCTCCTTTTTGTTCTGCCACCACCTCCTCTTCTTCATGCTATTGTTATTGGCAAGCTAAATAGGCTTGGTTTGCAGTGAAGCACAGTTCAGTTTGGGGGAAGGCCCCCAACCCCATCCTTGGGTTGATGTGCGGTTTCTGAGACAAATGTATATAAAACCCGTATGTGTGTTTTGTTCTAACAGAAATGCCTGGACATCCATGGAAATCCTCAACAAGTGCTGTGGAAGAATGGAAAACATGAAGTCGGGTAGCAGAGGATTCATGTGGGAGGGAACCCTGCCCCCTACAAGCTGTGCGGACTTGGGTGAGTTACTCATCCTCTGAGTCTGATTTCTTATCCATAAAATGCTTAATTTGTGATGTTGGCAGGATTACATGAGATGAGGTTGTGAACGTAGGCCCTGTATGCTACAGGGATTTACAGTCTGGATGAGTTTGCTATTATGTTTATAATAAGTGCCTGGAAATGTTTATTTCTTTGCATTAAGTGCTGATGGATTTGGGTTTGGATGAAGTTTGGTTCTTTGTGTTTTGGACTGGTGAGTGTTTGGTTTATCTCTGGTCCACATTAGCAACAGCTTTAGCCACAATATTTGCTGTGGTGCTGCCGCTGGAGACCCTGGGTTCTCCAGGGTGCTGTGTGTGCTGGTGTCTTAGAGGCCTGGTTTCAAAGCTTTACTCTGCTGCCTTGCGAGCCACATCCTTCATCTTTCTGTGTCATCACCTATCCCATGGAGCCACTACTGTGCAGATCAAATGAGATGGTGCCATTTAGCCCAGAGTCTATGCCACAGCGAAAGGAGAGCTGGCAGCCAACTGTGTTGTTAATGAGATGGAGGAAGAACCGCAGCTTTATAGCTGTCTGCTCAGAGCACCCAGACCTTGTTAGTGATTCTAAAGAGTTAATTCAGCAGGCAGAGCATCTCTGGCCACCTCTGTTCAGCTCCAGGCTGCATTCTTGTGCCCTTAGATCTTGGCTCATGAGTCCAGCTGCCTGCTGAGGGGTGTGAGGATGAGCCTAATTATGAAGGAGTGAGTGTCACATGTTCCTGTGATCATGGCAGGGTTTGATGCCTAGGGTCCCTGTGGTCTGATGGAGATGGATGTCGGATTTGTCAGAGCACTGGGGCCTTGGCCGCTGTTGCAGCCTGGATGTAAATTCACTGCAGAGCTCCCACGGCTGCTCTGAAAATGGCAGCTTCTGTCTGCAGGAGCTAGAGTTGTCGCAAGTGCTCCTTCCCAAATGTTCCTGAAGTCCTGATTTCCAGCTCTCTGGTATGATCCTCCCTCTGCTTTCAAGTGAGGTGCAAACCTGTGACTTGGTATGGTCTCAGTCATCCCCTGGGGCCATGTCCTTGAAGGAGAAAGACAGGTTTTCAATGTATTGCATTAAGATTTGGGGTTTGCATGCTATTTCAGCATAACTGATGTGCCCTGCCTGGAACACTGAATGGATCCAGGATGCACAACAGCAGGGTCTCTGCGTGATTTTTGCTCACTGTCTTATCAGGGCTTGGTCCAGTGCCCGGCATATATGCGTGGTTGACAAACTTAAAGGAAAGAAGGACCTTGAAAACACCAGTTCTGGGTCTGGCATTGGCTTTGCCATGCGTTAGCTATGTAAAGCCTAGATGTTCACTTGTCCTTAGTTCTCCAGTTGCCCATCCATGGGATTGAAGCATCTTCCCTGCAATGTGACTGTAGAAATTATTCTAGTTAATGTCACTGTTTCTGGCTTATAGTGGGCACCCCATACATGACAGCCAACAAATTTTTTTGCTTTGAAAGGAGAAGGGATGGAGAAGAGATCGAATTTATGTAAGTACTACTTTGTGTGTGAATGGGTGGGCAGGAAGGAAATTGTAATGGTCTTCATGTGGGAAGAGGACCTCAGCAATGTATAAGCAAAGAGTTGGAGAAGGCAGGAATGGATAAAGCAAGTAGTAGGCAGATCGCTCCCTCTTCAGAGTCTGAGAGCCCATTTAAAGGACACAAAACATCCCCAAATATTTGAGTAGAAGCCATAGCTAGTGAGCTTTTAATTACCCTGCCAATAAAGATTCCTGGGCAGAACGGTCTTCGATGCACGGTAATGTTTTGCAATGTTTTTAGTAATTGGGTTAAGATAATTTATTAAAGTGCCGACTGGATGTGTTTCAATAATTGCTAAGACTGGAATATTAGCCTTTCCTCCCTGAATGCAAATCACTCCCCAATGGGCCAAAGCATTGGAGAATATTGTTCTGAATATGCAAATCACTTTGAGACAAATTCTGAGTGCTGACCATAGCACCTATGGGAGCGTTTATTTTAAATTGCACTTGGAAGTTCCCTGAACTTTGAGTCTCATGTTGGGGGCTTGTTTTGTTGCTGGGGTCACAGGCTGTAGAGGTTTGACCTACTCCTGTTTCTGTTAAAATTAAAGGAAGCTTGTGTGCAGATGGAGGGCAAGGAGTGTCAGTAAGGGTCTGCCGAGGTCACTGGCAGCATGAAAGACATGGTTAATGGTTTAAACAGATTTTCCCTCATATCTGTTTTCTCTACTGAGTTTGTTTGGAGGAAAGACAACCTAACACTATTTAAGAAAAATAATCAGAAGTATTAACAGAGGAATTAGGAGGATAAGAGAGCTGTGGGGAGTGGGCATGTTTTGCAATCAAGATGTAAAGGTAATAAGCTCTTCCGAAGGTTAATTTGGTTTGTCTGGCACTAACACAACATCAGGAGAACTCACTTAATAGAACCTTTGCATTGCTGGGAAATAACAGTAATGGTGGGAGCTGCACGTTCAGGCTGCCAATGGCGCCGGGCAGGCTCCCAAGTCCATTTAATTTCATTTAATCCTCACAAGAACCCAATGAAGGGAGACCTTACCATGCCCATGGAAAATGTGAGTCTTGGAGATATGAAGCGTGGTAGCGGGCTAAGGTCTTCCTCATTCTAATGGTGGGGCCGTGGTTTGAACCCAGGACCTAGAATTCCAAGACCCTGCATGAAATCACTAGGGTATATGTGGCCACCACTTACAGAACAGTCACTGCATTTTAGGCAGCGAGCTTAGTCAGTTACGTGTGCCAGTCCACTTGATTGTTGAAGGTTTAATTCCAAGTTGAAAGACCAAGAACAGGGTGAGAAGATGTCTGACTAGTGGTACAACTGATGTTGGTGAGAAGGGTGATAGTGATTTAGGGAGAGTCATACTGGGTGTGAGAGGCAGTGAATATTTTTTAAAAAGTTGACGTAGAAAAGCGCCTAGAGCCCTTAGTTTCCTGATTCATAACATGGAGATAAAAACTGCACTGGATTCAATGAGTGCTGTGCTTGAAGCACAGGGAGTACTTGAATATCTATTATGGACACCTCTTGTTTGGATTAATGATGATTGGAATTTTCTAAGTATATAAGAAATACAGCATAGCAATAATTGGTCACTATCAGTTGGAAAGTGGTTGAACATAAATCTCCAAAGAGTAGGCAACAAGCATTAAGGTGTGATACTCAACTGTAGACCCGCAAGAAAGAAACAGGAATCCCCATATGCCCATGTTAATTGAAAAGCAACCAGAATGTGACCTTCGTTCTTATCTTTCCAGATCTCTTGTGAAAGCCTAGGGGCAGGTGCAGTCAGGGAAGACAGTGAAAATGACAAATCGGGAGGGGTTGTAATACAGGACTACTATGCTCAGCATCACACTGAGTGGAAGGTCAAGAAAAATGTATGTAGGTCCTCTTATGGTCTCCACAACTGTGCAAAATATGTAAGGAGGAGAGAACAATACCCATAGCACAGATGAATAATGAAGTTTAAAGAGAAGAGACTTCTATGACTACAGTATGACCAAATGGCGGAGGACTTAGGCTCAAACCTGTCTTCTGTCTTTGGATCCCTTGATGTTTTCCCAAGAATTTGTGTGTGTGTATTGGTGGTGGTGGTGGTGGGGGTTACGGCTGCTAATTAATTGGTAACTGACGTTGGAATTGGCAGCACTCGATCAGTCCTTTGGCTGTCACCATCACCTCAGGGCTCAGCCCCAAGGTAGCTGCCACTAACAACACCGCCATCACAGACAAGGTAGTTTTACAAGGTGTCTTAGTCCAAATAAACCTTCTCCTTAATGAATAAGCAGTTTGCTAATCTCCTAACATCCCCCAGTAAAGAAGGATAGTCTCTACAAAAAAAAGACAACTACAGCTTCCTCCAAAAGTTTCCTAATGGATAATAAATTATGAAGAGAACATTCTTTACTATGTAATTAATGGAAATTTACCATTTTTAGGCTTCCTCTGGGAAATTTTCCATGTCAAATGAATTTGTCGATGGGACCCGAGAGGGAGAACATCACAACTGTTGCAGCGTGTGCGTCTTCGTTAGGCGGCTGCTGGAGGTTAAATTTTCAGGCACGTCTTCCAGTGGCTTTGATCTCTGATGACAGTGTTAACTCTATTTGCTCCTTGGTATCACTCGGGTATTTTAAAATAGTCTTTTAAGATAGCCTTGCTAATTATTTTGCTGGAAGTTTAATTAAATCTTGTCACAGAGGAATATGCTATCTTGGGGAATGGCTGCCAAACATAAGTCAAACTGCTGAGAAAAAGGGAGGCAGAGTAGACAGATATGCACAAAAGAACAGTGCAGAAAAGAGACTTCCATACCAAAGCACGTAGGGTTTATTGAAGTTCACGTTCCTTTGTTTGAACGGTGTGAAACTTCTGGAGGGGATTCAAAGTCCACTTTAATTTCACACTTAGAACCAGAGTGTGTTGAAGGCAGTCAATTAGTAATTGGATTTAGTTCTGCTCTGAGTCTATAAGCATAGACAAGGTCCCTCTCTTCAAGGATGGATGGTCACGTGAACACATGCTTGTACTTTGCGCAAATGTGCACCTGTGTGCACAGGGTAGGAAGACATAAAGGGCCATCATATATACGAAAAGTTAAAGGTCTAAGAATAATCATTAGGGTATTTCTTGTACTAAAACAATGGAATCAAGTTTTTAACATAATAGGGTAGACTCAAATGTATGATATGGAATGATCTCCAATATGTTTATAAAATGAAAAAACTGACCAGTATATAAGAGGGGTTGGCAAATACTTTATTAAAAGGCAATATAGCAGCTACTTTAGGCATTGTGGTCTGTGTAGGTTGTGCCTTTCACGTGAAAGGAGCCACATACAGAAAGGAATGGGCATAGCTGTGTTCCAATAAAACTTTATTTATATATATTGAAGTTCACGTTGTTAGCGATTCTCATATGTCAGAGTACTCTGCTTTTGCTTTCCTTTGCTCAGCCATTTAGAAAAGTGAAAATTATTCTTGGCTTGCTGGCTGCATTGAACTAAATACAGGAGGCAGAATAAAAAGCAGGTTCTTGGGGATGTTTCTATCTGAATTTGTAGCAGCACTATTCACAATGGCTAAAACGTGGAAACCACCCAAGAGATGAGTGGATTAACAAAATGTGGCATATATGTACAATGGAATATTACTCAGCCTTACAAATGGAAAAAAATCCAAGTTATGCTACAACATGGATGAACCTTGAGACAAACAGTGTATGATTCCACTTATGTAAGATCCTTAAGGCAGTCACATTCATAGTAGCAGAAAGTGGAATGGTGGGTGCCAGGGGCTGGGGGAAAGAGTGGAGAATGATTATTGGATGGGTATAGGCTTTCAATTTTACAAGATGAAAAAATTGTGGGGACGGTAGTGGTGGTTATGCTGCATTATGATTGTTAGAGTATTTCAAAATATTTCAGAAATATTACAAAGACTTTTCAGTGAGCAGTTATTTCCTTAGAAGCCAGGTTTATTCTTTGTGGGGCCTCCCCTTGCATTATAAATGCTAAGTCATGAGGATTATTGCCCTGGTGAGAGAATGGAACAAGGAGACCACTGTTCAACCTGGAGTCTTGGCAATGACCTTGTGATTTCCCAGAAAGTAGTAAGACCAAGTAATAAGAATTTATTTTCAGAGCCAAAGTTGCTTAAGAGATAAGGTGTTTGCATGTTTGCTTGTTATTTTCTTCCTAATTCCAGAAGGCCCTATTATACCAAGCTACATAGTCCACCAACTGGATCACAGTTTCAAGAGAGATCATTGTGTCCAGTGCCTGAGGTGCTGGAGGAAGTGCCCAGTGGCAGAGGACGCCTCTCTAATCCTCAGAAGAGCAGTAGAGGAGACTGGAAGGAGAAAAGCAAAGGGGGTTTTGCACTGACTGCTTGGTGGTGTTAGGCGGAGTACTTCCTGTGAGAACTTCGAAGATGAGCTTGGAGGCCTTTCCTTACTTTTCTCGGTGCAGAGTGAATATTTTCACGACTCTGCCCACTTTCACTTTGGAGGAGGAGCACAGGTGGAAGGGTTCTGTGCAGGGCCATATGAAAATGCTTGGGGGAGCCTGTGTCCTGCCACTGTGATCAGAGCAAGGAGGGCTTGGAGGATGGGGCCTTTGTAACAGGCGTGTGGCCAGAACCCTACAACTAAGCAGACCTCATGGTACAGTACCTCAAATGGCCAACAGGAGGGACGGATGAGGCTCATTGTCCCATTGTAGACACAGGAAGGTCCCAAGAAATGTCTGACAGGCATGGCTTGTTTCTCCTCTCTTCAGGACACAGTCCCTCACCCATGTAACATCTTGTGGAGGAAACAGCCCTGATGTATATAGTCTGAATCTTCCATATGATTGAATATTTGTCCTTAAGAGTCTCAGCTAGCTTAGGACTTGCACATTTCCCAGGATGAGAATATAAAAAATTGGCATGTTTAGCGTTTTTTATACTATCTGGTAGAATGGGGCTCAGAGCAAGGTGACATCAGGAATAGAAAATTTGCTTCATTTTCTACAGGCAAGCTGTAGTGGATGGGGTTTGATGAGCTCAAGGAATCCTATCTGTGTACTGTATCTCTTTCTCCCCCTCAGAAGTGTTCCTTTGGGGAAGGGAGGCATGGGTTTGTTCATGCCTTTTTTTTATTGGTTGTATTTATTTGAGAGGTAGAGTTACAGATAGTGAGAGGGAGAGACAGAGAGAAAGGTCTTCTATCTACTGGTTCACTCCCCAAATGGCCACAATGGCCAGAGCTGTGTTGATCTGAAGCCAGGAGCTAGGTGCTTCTTCCTGGTCTCCCATGCGGGTGCAGGGGCCATCTTCTACTGCTTTCCATTCCATAGCAGAGAGCTGGATCAGAAGAGGAGCAGCCAGGACTAGAACTGGTGCCCATATGGGATGCTGGTGCCGCAGGCAGAGGATTAACCTAGTGCGCCATGGCACTGGTCCCAAGTTCATGCCTTTTGTAGTCCATGTTAGAGCTGATTGCTGTGGTTTGAACAGGAAATAGTGGTGGACTTAGACCTCATGACTTTAATCTTGGAATTGATTCTGTATGGGAGTTGGTGAGAGGAGTAAGCAGAGCAGTGTCCTAGTTAGATTTGTCTATCAAATGCATTGGCCTTGGCTGTAGCACAGAAGAGGGTAGCTTCCCATATGAGGGCTGATTCAGGTTCTACCTGTTTTATTTCCAAAACACCTTCCTGCTGATGTTCCTGGGAAGGCATCAGAAGATGTCCTAAGTACTGGGCCCTTGCCATCCATGTGAAACCAGGTAGGGGTTCCTGGCTTCTGGCTTGGGAAGTGAAACAACAGATGGAAGATCTCCCTCTCTCGCTCCCCCTCCATCACTTTCTTTCAAATAAACAAAAACAATTTTTTTTTATTTTTATTTTTTTTGACAGGCAGAGTGGATAGTGAGAGAGAGAGAGAGAGACAGAGAGAAAGGTCTTCCTTTTGCCGTTGGTTCACCCTCCAATGGCCGCCGCGGCCGGCGCGCTGTGGCCGGCGCACCGCGCTGATCCGATGGCAGGAGCCAGGAGCCAGGTCCTTTTCCTGGTCTCCCCATGGGGTGCAGGGCCCAAGCACCTGGGCCATCCTCCACTGCACTCCCTGGCCACAGCAGAGGGCTGGCCTGGAAGAGGGGCAACCGGGACAGAATCCGGCGCCCCGACCGGGACTAGAACCCGGTGTGCCGGCGCCGCTAGGCGGAGGATTAGCCTAGTGAGCTACGGCGCCGGCCAACAAAAACAATTTTTTAAATAGCATTGTAGGGGTAAGGCTTGGACAGAAGGGTCACGACAGGAGGCTTGGGCATAATCCAGGAGAGAAGGAGAGGGTTGGCATGGGGGTGGCAGCAGTGGCATTGAGAAGGATGAGGAGAGGTTTGGGTGACTTAGGAATAAGCTCAGGTCATGCAGAGAAAACAGCAGGCATCTCAGAAACTCAGTGAAGATGCTAGTAGGACAAGAAGAGCAGACTTCATCCTGATAAAATGGTCATGCCTTGTGTTACTGTGTGTACTGCCCCTCGTAGGCTGTAAGTGCGCTCGGTTTTGACTGCATCTCTTGAAAATGCCAAAAAGATACCGTGTACAGAAAGTAAAATTTATTCAGTCTCCTTTACTCTTTCTTGCCTTCCCTCTCCTTTTGTCCCCTCTGTTCCCTCCTTTCTCATCCCCTTAGCATGTTGACTTTCTTACTGTTTGTTCAAATCTTCCCTTATTCTGACTTGTCCCAGACCTAGTCTTCTGCAGCTCCTCTCCTTTCTATGTCCCCTCTCTCTGCCCTTCTGGATCTTTGCTTATTCTCCCAGCCTCAGTCTTGAATCTTTCTAAAGTATGTTGTTCATGCTCTTCTCTCCCCCCTCCCTATTTCATCTCTGCTCAGCTGAGGACCAGGTGAGCCAGGCTGTGCATCTAATTGCCTGGGTTTGCATCCTGGCTCCACAACTTACCAGTGCTGTAGTTTAGAGACCTAGATAAGAATGGTAACCTCAAACCTCAGTCCTTGCAATGGGGCACTCTGGATCAGAGCAAGCCTGTGAGATGCCCTGAGAGGAGAGAAGAGCAGGAGGGAAAATGACTGTGTCCTGTGACTTAAGGCCTTGACCTGAATGTGTCTCCTCTCTGAATTCATACACTGAAGTTCGAATCCCCTAGGTGATGGTACTAGGGGGTGGGGTCTTTGCAGAGCTGATAAGCTCATGGGGTTGGAGAGAACGCAGCAGAAAGACAGGTGTCTACAAACCAGGCAGTGGGCCCTCGACACACTCTGCTTCTGGTGCTTTGGTCTCTGATGTCCCAGCCTCCAGGCCTATGAGAATCATAGAATCATTGTAGTGCATGGCAGGCATCATAGTGGGCTAGCATCTGATAGCAAGCACTATCCCATCATCCGTGCCATATACCAGTTGTTGGAGTCAAGTCACTTGGTCCAGCCCACACCCCAAGGGGAGGGGAGCTCACAAGGAGCAGATCACCAAGAGGTGGGGGATCATTGGGGGCCATGTCAGAACCTTCCCATAATACTCTTTCCTTCCACCCAGGTAAAGCAGCAGAAGATGGCCCACATCCTTGGCCCCTGCACTCCTGTGAGAGACTTGGATGGAGTTCCAGGCTCCCGCCTTCAACCTGGCCCAGCTGCAACCATTGTGGCCATTTGGAGAGTGAACCAGTAGAAGAAAGATCTTTTTCTGTCACTTTGACTTTAAGATAAACTTTTAAAAACGAAATAAACTAATGTTCTTGTCATCAGGACTGTGTGTGTCCTGTTTCAGGGAGAGAGGGGATGCTTCTGGGCTTTTGGCGGTTATGTGGTGCGCTGACTACTTCTGAAAAAACTTGAAGGGTGGCCCGTGGCAGGCCATTGCTGCTTCTGGAATTTGCCACAGGGGGACCTCTCTTCCCCACAAAGGTCACGGGTGATGAATGGGACGTGGTGAGTCTTCTGGTGAGTGCATTGCTTGCCTGTTGTCACCATAGTAATGCCCACTGTATGATGTGCTGCTGATGGGAAGGGAGAACGGCCTTGTCTTTTCTGAAATTCGGCCTCTTTGTTTCCACTGTGGCTGCTGCATTGGATCATTTCCAGTGACTCTACCAGGAAAAAAGGATTTCCAATCGGATGTTTAGAACTGGGGCAACGTAACGGGGCTATTCAGAGGCGCCCATCAGACAACAGAGCCAAGGTATGACTTCAGAGACAGCTGGGAAGAGGAAGGAATCAAAGCAGGAGAACTGCAGGCATTCTAATAACAAAAACTCTAGTCTCCTTCAGTGATAGCAATTAGAAATGCGATCTGCTGTAAGTAAAAGAAAAAGCCAGAGGGAGTTTGAGCAAGATCATCTTCACCTGTCAGACTAGCACTTGCTGCTGCTCAGGGTGCTTCGGTGGCTCAGCAATGACTGGCCAGAACTTCTTGGTGTTTTTGTGACAAGTCCCTCCTGGCCACAAGATGCCTGCGTGCTTCTTAGATCACATCACAGGGAGAAAGAAGCAGGGATGGCACCAGCTGTCCTGATCCTTTTATCAGGAGAGCAGAAATATTTCTCAGAGCCACTCCTCTACATACACATGTGCACACACTATCTCATTAGCTTGGGCCACACCTGGCTGCAAGGGCATCTGAGAAAGTGAGTAATAAACCATTGCCAGATGCCCTAGTGGGAAGTGGCAAGAAGAAAGGGGTTGCAATGGGTGTAGTGATCGCTAAACAGCAAAATATAGAAATGACCCCTGAAAGTACAGTCTTGCCACAAGTGTTATTACTAATCATAATATAGTCAAGCTCCCCAAATAACAATGTCTAATGATTCTAGACTAAAACTACTGAGTCAGGATTTACAATCTGTATCTGTCCAACACCTGACCTCTTAGTCATGATGCAGTATTGGGCCATTAGGTGAATGTTTGCTGAGTGTCTCCTACATGTCAGGCCCTGTGCAGGATGCTGGTACCGTGAGAATTCCTGAGCCTCAAGAGTTACCACTGGGGCGGGCAGTCCTACTGCGGAGATTGAGGTCATGAGTGCCAAGTGCTTCGTAAGTGCTTGTCCTGTCGTCCTTGCCAGTGCAGTAGGTGGTCATCTCTTTTATTCTGATTTTTAATTTCAGATTTATTTTTGAATGATTTCTTGAGGCATGACTTACCATACAATTCACCTGTTTTCAGCACACTCAGTGAATTTTAGTAGACTTCCTGAGTTGTGTAGTCATCTCCAGAACTCGACTCCAGAGCATTTGTATCACCCTAGGAAAGATCTCTTGGGTCTTGGCTGTTCCCATAACTAAACAATCCCAACCACTGTCTATGTTCTGCTTCTTAGAGTTAGTTTTTCTGATATTTCTTAACATCATAGAAAAACATCTTTAGTATCTGACATCTTTCACTTAACCTGTTTTTTTTTAAAGTTTATTTTTACTTGAAAAGCAGAGCAACAGAGAGATACAGATCTTCCATTCACTGGTTTACTCCCCAAATACCCATGACAGCTGGGGCAGAAACTTCACCTGGGTCTCCCGTGTGGGTGGCAGAGACCGAAGTACTTGAGCCATCACCTGCGGTCTCCCAGGGTGTGCATCAACAGGAAGCTGGGTCTGAAGCAGAGGAAGGACTCGGTTCCAGGCACTCTCATATGGAATGCGAGCCTCTCAAGTACTGACTTAACCCACTGCATCCAGTGCTTGCCCCATGCTTAGCCTGTTGCTGAAGTTCAGCTGTGTCATGGCATATTTCAGTGGTTCCTTCCTTCCTTACTGCTTCACTGTATTCCTTTGTGTGAATGATTTTGTTTATTTTTTATCTTAATCATATTGTTTACAACCAGTGGATGCACATTTGGGCTCTTCACAACTTTTGGTTATTGGGAATAATGCTGTTGTAAATATTCACCTAAAAATCTTTCGGGAGTATAGGTTCTTGGTCCTCTTGGGTAGGTGCTTAATAGTAATAGTGATGGGTCTTTTCTACCTATTAAGTAGTTATGTTTAATGTTTTAAGCAATCACCAAATTTTACTTTAATTTTTCAAAGAATTATTTTATTTATTTGAAAATCACACAGAGATCATCCACCTGCTGGTTCACTCCTCAGATGACCTTGATAGTCAGGCTGGGTCAGGCTGAAGTTGGGAGCCCAGAGTTCTGTCCAGGTTTCCCCCATGCGTGGCAGGGGCCCAAGTACTGGGGCTATCATCTGCTGGTTTGCCAGGTGCATACGGAGGGAGATGCATCAGAAGATGCATCAGATGCATCAGAAGAAAAGCAGCCAGTGCTCAAACCATCACTGCTGCCTCAGACAGCAGTGTAACCACTGCACCACAACACTATCCCCAGAAAAAGCTATTGTCTAATGTGGCTGTACTGTCCTAATGTTTAACACATGCAATACGTAGGGATTCTCATGTCCAGTTGCATCTGACCACGAAAGACTCACTCTGAGCTTGTTGTCAAAGCCCAGCTCTGACTACCAGTGGTTTTGGATACATGATTTCAACCTCAGTTTTCCGCTTTGTAATGTGGGAGTAAGGACACCTATGTTGTGGGGTAGTTGGGAGGAATAAAAGAAATTACTGCCCAATGTCTATCAGAGAGCAATTTCTGTCTTAGCTTTTATCTCTAAGTAAATCTCATGTGTGTTTGGGAAAAGTTAATCTGTGCTAAGGTTAAAAACATCAACATTTGAGTTCAGGGCATTAGCGTGACTTTCCCCATTTGGGAGATGCTTCGGTACAAGCTTCCGGTCTCAAGAACATGAAAGGTGATGGGGTGGCTGAAATCTCTGAAGATGAAGTGAATGGTTTTACTTCTGTCCCCTGCCCTAGCTTCTCCATATTTCCAGGCACATTCTTAGCGGCTCCCCGTCTACTTTTGTCACTCTGGGGTCTGGGGACTCCTGAGTACTATGTTCTTCTCCCTGAAAACTGATGTTCCAAGTTCAGTTTTCTGCCTTTTCCCAGGTTGGTAACACGGGGAACCACCTGCCTTTTCATGATCTTGGTACATCTTTGACCCAAGCACAACACAGTCAGTTACTCTGGCAGTGCCATTGAACTGGAGTTCAAAGCCATTTCTCTGCAGGATGATAGTTAGAATGCCATTGCACCATCCTTTCTCAAATATAACGTGTGGTCAGCCAGTGATGAGAAACAGTCATGTGGCCCAAGTCATTTGCAAGAACTGAACATAGTATGCACGCAAGCCTGTTGAAGCACTTGACCTTCAATTAAAGCAAACAAACCAGGAGAAAAGTCCTGGGAAAGGAACTTTGTGGTGATTCAGCATTTGTCTTGAATTTCTGTATTATTTCAAATGCCATTTTAGAACGAGAGCACATTTTCTTTATACCATACCTCCCCAACCCCTTTCTTCACTCTCTCTCTGTGGGGGTAAGGGACTGTCTTGATATCTCAGGATTGTCCAGTAGATTCTGTTCTAATTTGGTTCTGGCTTAGCTGCAAGTCCCAGCTGGTCCCTAGCATGAAGTCTGTGTCACTCTAAAGCCAAGGAGGGCTGCTGGCACTTCTTGGCTTTTAACAGGGTCACTGAAATTCAGTTTTTAAGACATTAGAAACTCTCATCTTTGGTGCCAACTCAAGGGAGCTAGGGCTGAATTCATGACCCTTGGATGGCCCTGCTCAGGGAGGAGGGAGCTGGGGACTGACGTGACAACCCACTGTGCAGCCTGTTCTGTGTAGTCCTCAATTCTGTGTGACAGATGTGTTCACTTCATAGCATGGACCCAGCAAAACCTTTTGTCTTCACACAATCACCAAGTTACAGAACTCCTCGGTGTTGCTCTGTGCTGACTTCTGAATCGGGTAGATTCTATGGAAGCTTCAAGGAAATGTGGGGTGGTCAGAGTGTGATAAGCAGGTGACGATCAATACTGAGTGATGACTGGTCTCTCATTTTCATGGAATTCATCTGGAAGGTTGATGCTATCTAGATTCCTGGCTGCCTTTATGGAATATTCTGATATTTAGTACAAGAAGACTTCAAAAGTTCAAGGAAATATGGCATTAAATGAAAGGGTTTATTTTTCTGCAAAAAAACCTTTGAAAACCATGTAGTTTTCATAATTTGCATTTCCATGTATATTTTATACCAAAATAAACTCAAACTTCTTAACCTTAGTTTTCCATGACCTTATGGTACTCTCGTGTGTATGGTGTGAGTTCAAAATCCTCAACTCATGGATCAGCTGAGAGCTTGTTTGGAGCAGACCCGTGGGCCTGTGACCTGCATGTCCTTCCCATCAGGTCTTTGCTGCAGTTGGATTGTTGGTGTTGACCCAAATTCGGTGCTGAAGCCTAACCCCCATGGCGATGGTGTTAGCAGGCGAGGCCTTTGGGAGTGATTGGATCAGGAGAGTGGAGACCTTGGGAATGGTGTGAATGCCCTAATGAAAGAGACCCTGTGGAGCTCCCTTCCCTGATGTGAGAACATAAAAAAGACTGGAGACACAAAGAAGTCTGTGACCCAGGAGGAGGGCCCTGAACAGATGCTAAATCCAATAGCACCTTGAACCTGGACTTCCTGCCTCCAGAACTCTGAGAAGTACCTGTTGCTTATGAGCTACCCAATTAATGGTATTTTTTGAGGAAGCTTCTATGGGGCAGAAAGGTGCTCCTTCTAGAATCTGCATTTTTCATGAGCGGGCTGGTGGCTCTGATGTCACCGAACATGCAAGAGGTAATCAGCGTGGAGACTTGCTGCTCACTTCTGTCTGCAGCCTGTCTGCTTACGTTTTAACTTTAATTCCAGCCTACTTATTTGCATATTGATTTTGGAAAATGCTGGCTTAGAGTGGTGGTCCTCCTCAGAGTGTAGCCTCTAAGACAACCTCTGTGTCCTCATGTTAAGAACTTGCTGGACATGATGGTCAGGTGTTTGGTGCTGCAGTTAAGGTGCTTCTAGGGATGCCCAGGTCCCATTTCAGAGTACCTCTGTCCAAATCCCAGCTCTGCTTCTAGTTCCAGCTTCCTGCTAATGTGCACACTGGGAATCAGCAGGTGATAACTCAAGAACTATGGGAGACAGAGACTGAGTTTCAATTTCCTGACTTGGATCTGGCTGAGCCCTGGGTACTGCAGGCATTTGGGAAGCTCATTTCTCCCTTCCTACAGCTATCTGTTGCCCAAGAATAGAGGCAGAAAATTAGTGCCCTCACACAGTAGGCTTCCATTCTGTGGAGTGTAATGCCCTAAGTTTTAATGGTAAAATGATGCCTGTCCCTGCTGCAGGACTTCAGAGTTCCCCAAAGGTGATGCCTCCCTAGAGAGATGGAGTTACGAGTGGTAGCAGAGGCTGGGGATCAGTGCAATGTGGGACCTTGTACAATTTTTAAAATTATTTTTTTTTTTACTTATTTGAGAGGCAGAGAGACAGAGATGGCTGAGCTCTTCTATCCACTGGTTCATTCCCCAAATGTCCACAACAGCCGGGGCTGAGCCAGGCTAAAGTCGGAAGCC